ACAATAAATTCTTAGAATATACTCTTAGTAAATCTAAATAACCGAGAAAAAACAATAATTTCCAAGCTAGATCTTAGAAAAGTTGCTGCAACATGTTTCTAACATATATTTTAATTGATTGGATTAAAGGAATGCTATTTTTTAATTCAAGTCACAAACGAAATTTGCTTAAATGTTCTGCAACAATGTTGCTAACTTTATGTTTTTAAAAATTTTAAATTGAAGATATACAATGTTAATTTCTATTTTTGTTTAAGAAACTAGAATAAAAAGTTATTGCAAAATTATTTTTCCACAAGTCCACCAATTTCATTAAGAAACTGCTTGAACGAAAAGCATTTAATTTTTTTAAATAAAATAAAATTGGCTCAAAAACTCACAACCTACGTCAATATTTCATACAAACTACACATGTACAAATACATACATACACATATAGTTATAAATGCATACATACGTTTGCATATATGTTTGCATATGCATATATACATATACATATTTTTTTTTAATTTTATTTTAGCAACCACTCAATCAAATTGTATACACAATTTACAACATTGACATGCTAATTTGACCCAACACAGACATCTCTCTTCAGCCATAGCATACTTTTGAGGGCGCAACGTTGTGAATTTCCAGCGTCGATCAAGCGCCACACACACATTTGTGATGCGAAGGTGTTTAATTGGCAAATTGTCTACAAGGAATCAAAATATCAGCGCCGCTCGAGGAGCCGCACGTGCGTTAAGGATAAAAATAAAGTGTTTGTGTCTGTATGTGTGTGTGCGTGTAAATTTGCATTTCGCCAAAAGTGTGTTGATTACATTTGGAGTATGTGATGCCTTTCCATGCAATCGTAAAGGTTAAGAAAACAGCAAATAAAACGGAAAAAAAACAGGCAGCGCTTCCAAGAAACTGATAATAAGTGTACATGTGAATGTGAAAGGACACCTGTGAGATCCTTTTCGCATGCAAATTTTCAGTAATATAAATAAGCATATTAACATACATCTGTGTATTAGTGCGCAGAGAGATTGGTGTAAAAACATAAGGTCATAAAATTTTAGTGATAGCTATCAACGCCTACTTAACATTGCTCTAATGACTGCAACCAAAATCGACATTAAGGGAGTAAAGTATTATTGAACAAGTTTATCACAGTGGGTTCGGAGAAAATAATTTAAGCAAGGCTTAACAAAAAGAGTGAACTAGAGAGTTTGTCTTAAGAGAGCCTATATAGAATCGTGCCAGTAATTAGCCGAAATCCGGTTCGTAAAATCGAGTTCACTTCGAGAGAACTCATACAGAAACACAGCTTCTCTAAACAATCTAAAACGAACGTGGGACAAGAGGAGACTCAGAGCCAAATGAGTACATTAGAATCATGCAGCATTCTCCATGCAGCCTTAACAAAGAGCACACAATAATCTGAAAATGTCAGTCAGAACCTTATGTTTCTACGGACCAAAAATTTCCTTCGACCTTCTTGATATTTCCGACGATCCTAGAGTTGCAAGCATAAAAAAAACAGGTCAAGTCGCGGTTATGTCGGAATTCAGATTAGTTTGGACTTAAATTTGTTGTTGTCAAAGTGGTAAAGCTTGATTCAGACAACTATAGCTGCAGTTCGCAAATTCTGAAAATCAAGTTTTCAGAGCAGCAATATTAGTTTTAGTCGTCGCGAATTGTGACAGATTTCATCTTATGCAACTCCGAAAACTTGGTGCTCAAATTCCAATAAAACCTAGCTGACAAAAAGCATTGTATTGTTTCTGAGTAGCACGGACAGAACTTCGGGACGCAATGACACCAATCAAATGTGCTGCTATGAAGGTGCCGTCAGCTGCGAAACTTCCACTTACGTTCCTCAGATAGTGCGGTCTACAAAAAGATATGATCCGTTTCAATATCCGGACAGAAGTTAAACCGAAGCAGACTTCACACGAAATATTTGAGGGATATAACAACAACCTCAACAAGATATCAATTTGTAACTTTTACTCTCTATGTAAAATATTCCCTTCGTTCTCAGATGACTATCTCCAAGTTCTAACCTGACCTCTTCTCAACTAAGTATAATCATCGGAATTTCGGGTACGAAGAGATTGTAGTTCGTATGAGATAAAGTCGCTGGAGAAGAGATATAGTGAGCATTTTCATGGATAGGGTGACGATCTTTAAGCAGATCTCCGTCAAACTTAGGTTAAGGCTACCGGACTACGTAATGTGTTTTTGGCAAGAGTGGCTGTTATTAAGGTAGCAGTAGGCTTACTGCTCCGAAGTGCAGCTACTTTCAGGAAGGTGAGCATTCACTCTGACTGCAGAGCAACAATACTAACATTGAGCTGACACACTGTGCGCTCATAGATAGTCAAGGAGTGTCTATCCTCACTAGATATAGCATCAAGTTACTCCATTATCAGACTCATTTGGGCACCTGGTAAATGCGGAATTACTGGAAACTGCAAAGCCGATGAGCTAGCAGAGAGAGCCGCCCTTACCGCGCTCACATCGGTATGGGAATAAGTAGGATCTTCAATGGCATGTTGCGTTCTAACACTGGACCTATGCACCTCGCGTGTACTTAGCAGGCGTTGGTCAACGACCAGCTTCTGTGCGACTGCGAACTTAGTAAAATTCACCATACCGTAATCGTAAGAGTTCAATAGGTATTCATGCTAAAAATTCAGTCGGACGAAAATTGTCAAAGTTGTATGGAAGTAGATAGGTTGGAAACTTCCAGGTACTTCCTTCTCCATAGTCAAGCTTTTGCAAGACCGAGATTGAAACATCTCGGCAGTCACGCCTGAACCAGAAGACATAGCTAAAACTGACATTAGCCGTCTTAGCAAAAATGTTATCAGCACAGAGCTTCATCGTTTCACGAGGCTCCTTATGATCAATCATATTTAAGTTCTAGGTAGCACAACGGATCGGCGCCATAAGGAATCCAAGTTTGGATCTAAATAGTCGACTTACCCTAATTTAACCACACATTGAACTCCGGTCTCACATCAGTCTAACAGAACCTCAAAAATAGTCAATTCATTGAACATCGTCGTTTGATTTTGAACCTTAAGATGTATGTTCACAAACTGAAATCCTTCCTTTTATGAGGTCGGTATGCCATCAGCACTGAATACCTTAAGAGAGCTGGAAAGGATGTTGATATGTGATATTTGGACATATTGAAAATTTTAAGTTCTTGGATATATTCAGGACTGATTTGAACTCAAAGAGATTCCGTCTAGCGCAGAAAAAATTATATTTCCATTAAGACAGTAGAGGGAGTTGTATACACTACCTAACTAATCAACCGACTTTCGCCACTCTTTTCTTAATATTTTTTTTTTTTACTTTTAACAACAAAAAATTTTTACATTTCTTTAATACCAAATTTTCAACAAAGTATGACAACTATTTAAACAACACTTAAAAAGTTAAATAATTATATAAAATTTCATGCAACAAAACTCTGAGCAATTATTTTAAACCACTTGTATGCTATTGTATTTTGAAAAACAAAAATCTATAACTTTTTCTATCACTTAAGAAAAACTTAACCTGCAAACGTTATACAAAGCAAAAACTCTTCACTTTTACAAGCAAAGTGAGAAAGTAAATAAATATAAATGATTTTATTGATATATTATTCAAATAAAGCAGTTTATTTGCGAATACAAAGGGCTCTTCAAAACTCAATATATATGTATAAACACATGCATGCACACAAAATATACATATACCATATACATATATATGTGCATATAAAAAACGATGAAAAATTAATAATAAATATTGCAGAGTGGCATGACTTAAATGACACTTGTGTAAGACTTGAGACAACAAAGAAAAGATTTGGAAAATTTACAAAAATGAAATTTAAAAAGTAAAAAAATTTGAATTAACAAAAAATTTAAATTAAAAACATAAAAATGGATGAGTTAGCATCAGTAGCTTAGCAGATATGTGCATGTGACAAATTTAAAGGGCGGAGCCACTTTAAAAAAACGTTAGCCCACAAATGCTTTCCCCACAGCGATCCCCTGTACCAAGCCACAATTTTGTATCATATTTTATTGCTTAGTTATGACACTTTATAGATTATCGTTTAATGGCGATTTTTATGCTTTTCAATGGTCCGATTATCTGCAATATCAACCCTCCTTAGGTGCCAAGAAACATACATATGTACCAAGTTTCATCAAGATATCTCCATTTCTACTCAAGTTATTGCTTGCATGGACAGACGGAGGGACCCGAATTCCAACTCGTCTAGTCACCCTGATCATTTATATATATAATATATAACCCTATATCTTATTTTTAGGTAATAAAAACAACCGTTAGGTGAACAAAACTCTGTGCAACATGTTGCGAGAGTATCAGAATTGAAAAATATATTATATAATATAATAGATATAAATAAGAAAAAATAGAAACAAAATACAAAATAACGCAAAAAATAAAGTAATTAAAATTGCTATATTTTTTTACTTTACACAAAGTTTATCAACTCTACTATGCTACAAATAACGCATGCCATTAACAACAGCGAGGTACCCGAGCGTGCAGTGGCTTAATAATTTTACAAAGCCATTACACTAACACAACAACGTCAACGCACTTTAAAATTATCGATTTTTATGTGGAATATTTATATGACTAAAGTCCATGAATTTTTTGTTTCACGATTGCTGACCAAAATATATAAAAATAGCACAACAAATTACTAATAATCGATCGACTTGAGTTGGCTTGGGGTACACCATGACGTATACTACTTGTTGCGCTCACAGCAGCAATGGCAACAAATGCCTGAAGATATGTGTGAATGTTTTTAGATGGCATTATTATATATTATTTATTATATAATTAAAATATAATTGGAGACACTTAACACACACATATATTTATGGTTTATGTTTGTCTTCATAAATTATAAAATTTAAAAGATATTTTAAAATATTTATAAAAAACTATAATTTCAAAGTACTTACATACCTATGGAGACAGTTTTTCTTCAATGTAATATTTTTCTGCAAAGGAAACCAGAAAAAGATATTTATTTCAATTAAATTAGCCACAATATAAAAATAAGCGGAAATAAATATCAATTTTAAAAATGTACTTTTATACACTCAATGCAAATTCATTCATTATTCTCATTTCCTTTGCACCACCCATGTTTATATCTGTCAGGACATTAGGAAATCCCTAGCACTCAAATCCTGCTGTGTGAAAAATTGATTTCTCTTTTGTAGGAAAATGTGCTGAAAGCAAAAAATGATTGAGACATTTTGAAGCAGATCAACTATGAAAGCGTAAAAAGAGCGCATGCAGCGCGCGAATGGATGCTACAAAAATAAAAATAAATATGAAAATTTGCAACAAAAAAAAAAAAAAAACACAGAAAGAATTAAGGAATTAAAAATTCCATTAAAAAAATTTTAAATCAAATTAATACAAAAATAATTTATAAAAATTTAAAAAAAATGTTGATAAAAAAATTAAAAAAAAAAATTTTAAAAAAAAAATAAAAAAAAAAAAATAATAAATCAAAACTGTAACAAAATTAGAATTAAATATAAATAGCAAGCAACAAATAAAAATAAGTCCAAACTATGCGAACAAGGCTGTAATATCAAAAAGTTTATTATATCTTTTTTTTTTGCTTTAACGCTGACTTGAGAAAACAAATAAAATAAGTGAAAAATAAAAAGGGAGTAATTGAAAATTTTTTAAAAATCTGTTTTAAAATAAAAACTTTGATTGAAAATTTAAAAATCAAATTTAACTGAAATTAAAGAAAAAAAGTAAATAACAGCTATTTTTAACAAAAATTAGAAAAATAGTTAAACAAAACAAAAATTCAATTACTATTAAAATAAAATTTATTTAAATTAAAAAAATTAAATATAATTTATATAAATTAAAAAATTACTAATTTTTTATAACACAGCAATTAAAATAAATTAACTTAACAAATTTTTTGAATGTAAATAAATAGTAAATTAACTCAAATTCGAGTAAATTGTATAAAATTTTTAATTGCATAAATATAAAGCAATTAAAATTAAATAATTTAAAATTAATGAAAAAATTTTTATACTTAAAAATAAGTTATATCAAATTATAAAATTATTGTTAGAATTATAAAATAAGTAATTAAATTTAATTAAACGAATTAAATTTAACTAAATTATCTTGGGTTATAAGTTAGTTATTTTAAAACCCAATAATTCAATCTTAACTAAATTATAAAAGATCTTAAATTAAACAAATTACGAAATTTTAAATGAATTAAATCAAGTTATTTAAATTTAACCAAATTATATATTATTAAAGACTAATTAAATTACATGAAATTTAAATTAATTTATTCAATTTAATTTAACCTGATTATATGAAATTTTAAACTGATTAAATTAAGCAGTTTAAATTTAATTTAATTATATAAAATATCATATTAATTAAATTTTTTTTTGCGGGTGAGTGAGTGGGAAATGCCATCCACATCATCAATGCTGTCGTCACAGCAACGGTATGTGCCGCTTGCAGGTCCCACCCTGGGACCGCGTTTGTATTACTGAATGTTTGAATAATGAATTTAACCATGTAATATTAATTTTTAAATTAATTAAATTATACAAAATTTTAATTTAAATTACATTGCTTTAAGTTAAAAATTAAGCTATATTAACTAAGTGTTAGTAAACAAAACAATTTTACTTAAAACGAAGAAAACATTATTAAAATATAGGAAACATTAAAAATATATAAAACAAAATGAGACTAAATCAATAATTCTACAACAATTTTACTGAAATTAATTCAACATTAAATAAAACTAATAAAAACTTTGCTGAAAATCAAAGCAATTTATAAAAATATGTTTATTATATACATTATTAATTATTAATACAATAATACATTTGTTAAATTTAATTTATACTAATTAAAAAAAATTATTTATGTAATTATAATTAATTATATAATTATATATATCAATTACAATAATAATAATAATAATATAATAATAATTATTATAATTATAATTATATAATTATTTATAATTTAAAAATTATATTAAATTATTATAATTATAATTATATAATTATTTATAATTTAAAAATTACATTTATTTTATTAAACGAAAAAAGTTTACTTTAACTAATTGTTTTAAATTTTAAAATAAATTTTCATTGCAACTAAAAAGTTAAGCTTAATTAAGTCGAGTTTTTATTAAGTAAAAAAAGAAATTAATTCAACAAATTAAAAAACTTAAATTTAATTATTTATCCAAAAACGCATTAAAAAATTTTACAAAATTAATGAAAGTCAGCGATTCTCAAATGATCAATAAGCATGTAAATCATGACTTCATTTAGCAAGCAGCGCTTCATTAACGCCAAAATTAATACCAAATTGTTGCAGGCAAAAATCGCGGTTAACATTTTGATAGTTGTTTTTTTTTTTTCAATTTAATGATGCAGAAAATTCAATTACAATGCACAATCACAATTTGCAAAAATTACGCTGATGCACAGCAACAACGGCAGCGCAACCACAAATCATAAACTAGTCTTATTATTATTGTTGTCACATTTTATTGACAGCGCATATCTACCATATATACGTACATATGTATATGTATGTAGGTATATAAGCAAGTGTGGTCATGTGATTTTCCCTCAATTCTAAGCTGCTATACCAGCTAGGCGTATAAAATATAAAATGCCTTGCAGAGAATGAAAAAATCAGCACACAACTCTATCGCTCAATAATTCATTATGTGTGTCGCTCGCTGGGTAGCTTTGTCATAATTTCAATAACTGACACTGTCACTCGCGGACAAGTCACTCTCCGATCGCTTAAACACCTGGAAGTCCCAGTCGATTAGTGCACAATACGAATTTCGCGAACTTTTAGCGAAAGCAATTAAAATTTACGATAGTAGCAAATGGTTATGGCGTTTGTCGCGGACCACCGGCAGTGGGAGAGCGCTGCGAAACAGCTAAGCACCTACAAGTGACCAAATGCCGTAATAAGCGCTTTATTTCACAGTTTCGATGCTTTTTTAATGGTTGTTTGGAAATGAAAATATGCATATACTTAAAAGCGCCCAGAAGCAGCTGAGTATTTTGCGTAGGATGCTATGCACGGTTAAATGCAAAAACTGCAAAAATAATTTCAAGTAATGAACTAATAAAGCTTCGTGATTACACTTCTGTGAGTACTTTGGAGCAAAGAAAGAATTCACTTTGCTGACCATGGTGAGCGCATTTTCAAAGCTAAAGCAATTACTGAAGCAATATATTTACTAGTCTAATAATTTTTTAATTGGTCAAATATCTTTGTTCCCTGCTTTTTGTGTTATGTTGGCGCTTAGCTCGAAGTTGTTTGGTACTTTATGAACTTATGAAACACACTTTTCACGAAGTTTTTTGGAACTTTATGCGCCCGTGGAACACACTGCTCACCTGGTTTATGCTCAGCGAAGCAATTTTATGAACTGCTAGTCGAGGTTGCGAATTGTTTTATACAAAATGTATAATTGGATTTCGAATTCAAATTTATATGTAAAATTTTTAATTCCGATGTTGAGATTAAACATTTAAAATCTAAATTTTAATTTATTTTTAGTTATAAAATTTTATTTTTAATCGAAAAATCGGTCCAAGGCGTAAAAATTTAATTTTCAAATTTTAATTCCATTTAATTGAAAATCTAACATAATTTTTAATTTAATTTAAAAATTGAAATTTTGATTTTATAATTTAAAAGTAGAAAATTTCAAACCAGTATTTGGGATTAAAAATTAAAAATAAAATTTTAATTCGGTTTTTGGGCTTAATTTATTTTATTTCATAAACCGGTTTTTGAGAATACATTTATTTATATTTTTTTCTATTTTTAGAACTAAAAATTTAAAAATTTGTTAATTCAAATTTTAGTTCAATTTTTAATTCTTTGCAACTCTGCTGCTGGTACAACACTACAATTGTTTACAATTCCCTATCGTAAGTTATAAACAAAGTAGTACTTAATGAGCTTATATAATGCAATTCACAAGTAATAAATAAATTAGTAATATTGATTTATGAACTTGTGAAACATTATAAATGTAAAAATTACGCCAAAAGAAAACAAGTCTTTAGACTTTAAAAGCAACACTGTGACTTGCTATATATTCATTTGATATCGGATCGAACAACAATTCTTATTTGATACATTTTGATCTGCTGATAAATTTATGAACATATGGTTCGGTACTATAGTTGAGCGCAAATTCGAAGACATTAATTACTGTTGTGTTTTTGAACTTGTGGAACACAATTTATATTTAGAAAATTATGAACTTGCGGAATAAAACCAATTTATAACACAACAACAAAAAATCTGGTAGCCAACTTTGAACTTATGAAACACGGTTCATAGAACTCTTGCAAATAAGAGATCGAGAGCAACAGTATTGAAAATTTTCGTGGTAAAAAAGTTTAAAAAGTTAATGAAGTAAATCAAGTGAATCGGGTGATGAGCTAAGACTATTATTACAGAGGTATGTGATTCTACATAAACACTTCAATACGGCTATCACAATAGCACCTATTTCTTTTATGCACATGTGGAAGACAAGGCGATTTTGAAAATTTTTTGAACTTGTGGAACACAATGCATATTTGAAAACTTTTACAACTTATGGAACACAATTCAAATTTCATACAATACTAAATTCTTTTTGCAATTATTTTTGCTATACTAAATATATTTTTATATACTTATCGAAGAAATAAATTAACTAATGCCGTCATATAACTATATCATTTTGTTATACTTTAAAGCATGCCTTTGCTGCAAAATAAATTCTTTGACCTTTCAACCTTTTATTGCAGAAAATTCGCACTAAAACTTTTCCAACACTCTCCCATTTATTTCTTTAATATCTTGGCATACCAATCTAAGTACCAACGGCACCTGGTAAGTCCTAAAAGTGAAAAAAAAGTAAAGCATGCTTTGCTAAGAGAAAAAAACCATT